GCAGTGAAGGAGTTGATCCGCGACGAAAGATAGAGAGAGTTGACTAGTTGAGTGTTTCTTGGGTTTGTAGTTTAAGAATAGAGTTTAAATGGCTAACAAATATTGCCTGAACGAGTATATCTTTATGCTAAATGTGTGTGTGTGTGTGTGTGTATGACTTTGTGCTGAATGTCTGGCTAAAACTTGTCCAAAGCAAATATAACGGCGGTTTAAAATTTAAAGTTTGCTCAATGTATTTGAAGCTTGCTGTGGGATTTGCAGATATTTTTTGCTTTTTTCAAAGAAACAGCAGTAGCTTTATTTACAAACGGCAGTAGTTTCTTTTTTGAAATAGACGAATAAATGGTTTTAGAAATTCTACTTATTTGTATTGCAAAATGAAAAATATTTCTTGTGTTTCGTAATACTGCTTTTAGAATAAGTTGGCTAAAAATTGTCTTTTTCTTGGTGTATTGTGTTTGTGGTGTACTCTGTGAGACAGTTCAATTAAAAAATGGAAAGATATTTTAAACTTTAGTTTATTCAGTTTCAGCACAAAATTGTTAAATTTATCATCTGATAAAACATTTACATCAACGATCAGTATACAGTTTAACGCTGAAATTTATTTATTGCAGTAAAATTGCTTTTTCTTGAAATTAAAAGTAAACAAGTCACACTAATTATCACAGTAAGTGCACGCTGAAGAGGAAGAGGAAGGATGCGGACTTAATGAAATTGCAAGTGCAAAAAGATTGGCGCTCACTTAAGTTGACACTAACACTCTCTCCACTGTAGTGAAATAAACTCCTGCTAATTACTGCTCTATCTGGGATGACCTTTTTTGCTAGAAAGAACGAGGAAGTAGGAAAAAATGCAGGAAAACGAACAAAGTTGCAAACGACTACATTTATGATGCAGCCCCTTTTTTCTGCATCACATTTCATCATCCCTTTCAACATTCATTAAATGCTAAATGGTTGATTTAAATTAGGCAAATGTGTTTGCGTGCTGAAAGACAGATAGGAGAAAAAGTAGAAAAAGACAGGCTAAAACTGCAAAATTCAAAATTAAAAAATTGGCAAACAGAATTGTGAGCAGAGTGTGTAAATGCCTTCTTTTGAGTGGCATGTTTTGTGAGTGTATGTGTATGTGTGTGTTTGTCAACAGTCAACAGTGAACAAGTCGTTGCAGCTGCATTCTCAATGGCCGCGTCAGCACTGCGAGCATCACTTCTCACTTATCACACTTCGGTGTGTTGTGTTAAACTTGCCTCCCTAATCAGATCACTTTGAGGAGGCACTCAGCCCAGTACAGGCAGACAGGGGCACACACTTGACACTGCCAAATTCAGTGTGCAGTGCAGTGTCACTGACTGACATTTGATGTCGGAAAAGAGAGAAAAAGAGCTTTGTTAAAGAGGGAAAAAAATTTGAACTGTCAACTCAGCTCGCTTGTGATGTTTGAACGCCGCACTTTTAAAAGGTGATCACTTTAGTGTTTTTGCGTGTGAATGTGTATAACTTTCATCTCTTCTACTTCTGTTCACTTACTTTGACTTTGACATATATGATACACTTTTTTACATGTTATTTTAGACACTTCCATTGCTTTACTAGTATTAGTAGTAGTAAGTAGTTGGAAGAAAATTAAAATCCTCAAATAATAAGTGGAAACGCGCCATTTAAAACGATAAATCATCTCAATGTTTTTCGTTTTTTCTCTACTTTTCTACACTTGCCGTGTCACCGTGACAAAGTCAAAAGTGGCGGCAAAAAAGAAAAAGAAGAAAACGAAGGAGATGAAGTTCATTAGTATTAGACGTTGTCAACGGGCGAACAAAGGCAAAGTGTGTGTATGGAAAGACAAGTCAGTAAGTCGTGTTTGCTATCGAGCTTTTTGTGAGAACAGAAAGAGAGAGAGAGAGAAAGTGGATTCTTAAGAAGATGGGAACATGTTACAGGCAAAAGACAAAAGATGGCAGCGAGAAGATTGGACAGTGGCGATGTGTGTGAAGTGTGAGCAGACATGAGATGATGATGCTGCTGCTGCAAATAGTTCATTGCTGCAAAAATTTAGAGAAAGTAAAAGAATAGGAGAGAAAGAAAGAGGACCACTTAAAAAAAGGAAAACTTGACTGTGCTCTGCACTGCACAGCAAAATAATATTAAGTACGAGCGAACATGAAAAATTTCTCTAGCCTCTTTCTCCTCTTTTTTCGCCACTCTACTGTGTGTTTGGAGGCTAATTGAAAAGGCAAAACAAAAAACAACAAAAGTAACGACGAGATCGCTTGCACACTGCTGTTTTTTAGTAGCAGTGGTGGTAGAAGAAAAAAAAGAAAAAGAACGGTGGAAAGTGCAGCTTTCTTAGTTTGAAGGGAAAGAAAAATCGAAAACGGAAAATTGGGTAAAGATGAAGCAAAAAATGAAGTGAGGGAAAAACTGGAGGTTCTAGTGTCTCAAGTGATGGGGATGAACCCGCCAGTACCAGCAGCAGCACTGCCAATACCGCTAAAAAGCGGACAGTTTAAGGGATGCTAGAAAAAAAGACAAAGAAAACAAAGATGAGACGGACAAAATGGTCATGCCATGCTGCCAGGATGGCCAGCGGAAAACCAAAGTGGGGACAAAAATGGAAGGAGGAAAGGAAAATAGAAAAAGAAAAGAAAGAATAAAAAAGTAAAACGGTCAGAGCACTCAGCGCCTCACGCGCGCCTAAGTGGATTGAGCAAAGCAAATACAAATTGGAAATTTAATTGGAGAATGGTGGTGGTGATGGTGATGGTGGTGGTGGCACTGGATTCACAGGAATTAACTGGGGCGAGAAAAATAGAAAAGAAAAAAGTATAAAACTAAAACTGTAGCTTTTTAATAATAAAGCAAAAAATGATTATTTGTTTAATAAGATTTTGGCGTAAAAAGATAAGGAGAGGGCACAACGTAGATGTGCGTCGTCGTTTTGCAAGCAAATAAAATAAGTTTTTTGCAAATTGGCCACATTTTCCTTTTCATTTCTTCTTTCTTCACCTCACTCTCTTTTCCTTTCCGTTCTGACTGACCTACTGTCCAGTGGCGTTCAGTGGCCCACAGTTGGAGTTACAGGATCAATTAATTTAGCAGTAATTGACACCGATCTCAGCAGGCTTCCTCGATGATGCTGCCGTTGCTGTTGCTGGCAATCAATTAAATGTAGGCTCTGTGTGTATTACTACACTAGTCTGGTCTAGTTTGTCCTGTCTGTTGACTACCACACACTATTCAATACGGTTCGGCGAAACAGCAAATAAACAGACTGTGAGTGTGAGTCAGTGCAGTGAAAGATGGCTGTGCTGCTGATGCTGTTGTTAATGGAGAAAGTCAAGTGAAAAATCGAAAAAATGTGCCACTGAGAAATGTGAAGAATGTGTTCTCTCAGTTTGTCTCCGTGTGTGTGCACCAAACGTCTGACTGACTGTGTGACTGTTTATTTCGGGTTGCAGTTTTATTCCATCGATTTCCAAAGCTGCTGCTGCCTCTGTTTATTTCAGTGAAAAGATCAATTACGAATTAAAGTGATAGCCATTTATTAATTGGATTAAATGAAGAGAAATGGTAGAAGTGCTTCTGCAGCTGTAATGCTGATGTTTTGGACCAGTAATCAGCAGAAACAGTGCTTCCTGGTAGACTTTTATACTTGTTTCATAGTTTCAAAGTTGCACGTTTTTATTTCTATCTAGTGTAGTTTCCTAGTTTTTTCCTTTCAACTGCCAAAAGTGTAATGTGCAATAATTCACTTTTCTGAGCAGCAGCCAGCACATTTGATTATTATTCATTCTCATTCACATTTACATTCACATTTATATTACTGTTTCTGCTGCTGCTGCAGTTAAACCTAATTTAAATCCGCCTAGGCGCAATATATCAATTCACTCTGCAACTTTAGTCACACACGCACACAGTTAGGGCTAAATTATCGATGCCATCCATATTCTTGCATATGAAAACTCTTTTTCTTTTTCCCTCTCCTTCTCTCTCCCACACAGTCACAAATCTGAATCTATTCCATCGTTCTTACGCTTTGTGCTTGTGTGCGTAAAAGGGAAAAGGGAGAGAGAAAATAAGGAAGAGAATTGCAAGCGGAAACAGTTAGCGCGTGATGGTAGTGAAAAATTATAAATTGCCAGCACTTCGATCGGAGAGTTGGCGGCAAATTAAAGCTGCAGCCTCTAAAATTGTACAGCAGGAGCAATGGACAGTGGTGAAGGGAGGACAGCTAGTAGGGCAATAGACACACACACTGCACCAGCATATGTACGGCCCCAACAAAGTCATTATCACTATTTGTAACTCTTTCTGCAATTGCAGCTGAAAGGCCAACTGGCAACTTGCGGAAGAGAAGAAGGGAAAAAGGGGAAGCTAGTCTATACTAGACACTTTTGCAGCAAAAGTCGTTCTGAAAGAGGAACTGCTTTTTGGAGACGAAGATGGAGACAACGACAACGACGATGACATACTTTTACATCCATTTGCCCGGGCAGTATTAATCATCTACACCCAAGGTTTGCTCAAGTTGAAAACAAGAGTAGTTAGCCTTGTTTTAAAAAAAAATAAAATAATTTAGTTTTCATTATGGTCATATCGTTTTGTTATTTTAGTTTTGAGAAATGTTGTGTGATTACAAAAATGAGTGTGAACAATCTTGCGTAGAAAAATTAGTCTCGTTTTTGTTTTTGATTAAAAAGTTGATTTTGTTTTATTTGGCAAAGTTTGTGAAAAACAAGTCGATTTTTGTTGCAATAGCTGCAGATGATGATTTGAGAAAAGTTGATTGATATAGTGAGAGAAGCGTGAAAGCAGTTTTGAAGTGCAATAAAGTAAAAAAAATAAAAGTTGCTCACTGGGGAATGTGGTCACTGTGAAGAGGGAGTCGCCTGCTGATCAGACGATTGCAATTGATGCAGAGGCTGCTGCTGCTGCTGCTGGTGAAGCATCGGCGGAGGCGGCGGGAGAAAAGTGATAAAATTGCCACCGTCAATGTACTCGGTGCCGTTGATTGTGGCGGTAGTGGTGGCGCCGGTGCTGGCGCCATTACCAACAGAAACGGTACTGTTGCCCGCGGGAATGTAGTGAACAGTGGTGCCTTCAAAGATGGCCAGAGATGAGGTGGGATCGGCTGTTGTTGTGCCGCCCAGTTCACTGCCAGCTGCAGTGCTGTACAGAGGACTGGCGAGCAGTGCCTGAGCTCCACTGCCGTTTTGCACCTGATGGTGCTTCAAAATGGACTTTAGTGGAGTGCAGTGAGCTGCTGCTGTAGTGTTCATGCCGTCCAAAAAGGCCGCTACCTCGAATTCACCGGCGTTCACAATTTCTGCATGTTGTTGTTGTTGTTGTTGAGAAAGAGGAGGAGGCGGTGGATAGTGGACGTAGTACAGTGCTGCACCTTCACTGCAGGGAATGTTCTGAGAGCTTGCTGCATTGGAATTGATAGTAAACTGCTGTTGTTGTTGTTGCTGTCGATTCCACTGTTCAGTTGGGTTTTGGCGAATTCGCGTAAGTGTGGAGCTGCTGACGTAGTTGATGTTGCCGCTGTTGTTCGATGGATGATGCGTGTCAATGTTTGCCACTGTCACCGTTTGTCCGCACTGCTTTGTCCGATCTCGTCGTCCAGGAAGGGTTGAGTAACGATGTTGATGTTGATGTTGTTGTTGCTGCTGTTGTTGGGGATGATTGTGATGATGTTCAGCTCGAGGAGTTTGAGTTCCGTTTCGGTAGTCATTGTTACCACTTCCTTCATTTCCACTGACCACTGCATAGGAAAGACTGGCGCTGTTGTGTGAACTGCTGGTGATTAGCAGGTGAGAGTGCGATTGATTGTTGGATGATTGCAGTGTCTAAAATATAGTTATTGTAAACCGAAACGTAGAATGAGTTATTCAATTTTAGTTTTAAAGATAATATTAAAATTTTTAACGTTTTTAGCTACTGGCATTGCATGATAAAACCTTTCTCAATACACACTAACCACAAATTCAGAAGAAAGTAGAAAAAACTTGCAAGCTAATTGCGCGATAATTAACCGTGTGAGAGAAGGCGAAAATGAAGCCTAAACTAAAGCGGCAATTAGACAGCTACTAAATATTACCGCATAACTTGGAATTAGTCATGTAAATTATTTAATCTTTTATGTAGAATGCCTGCGCTGTGTAATAGCTGGCAATTAAAGTGTGCTACTCAACTTGGCATGAAAATGTCAAGTGTGCACAAAATTTGTCCTTCTTCTTACCGTGTCAGTTGATCCTCGCCGAGAAGTGGACAAATTATTATGCTGTCGCGGGTGATTATGCTGTACTTGATGATGGGGGTGATGAGGGTGAGAGTGGTGATGATGATGGGGTTGCTGCTGCTGTTGATGGTGATGGGGTGAGTTGTCAAAAGACGACAGGTTGACGCTCTCCTGAAGCAGCAGTGGGTCATCGGTTTTACCGCCTTCCTCGCACTGATCAGTTGCATTGAGCTGGCTCAGCTCGTCACCCTCTTCAGTTGCCTTTGACCGCCTTCTCTGACCACTTTTACCGCTGTTGCCACCCTCCACCTGACAGTAGAAACCGAGAAAGACGATGACATTGAGCACCAGCAGGGAACAGCCGACAACAATGGTGATCATGAGGGCGGTTGAGTAGCCGTCAACTGAGTCGCTTTCCTGCAGAACAAAATGTTTAAAAGAAGGTAAAGTTATATGTAGTGAATCAAAATAATTTTTTATCTTATATAAAACTATCAATTACATGAAAAACTAAAGCATTTTTTATTTGATACAAAGTAGCTTTAAAAACAAGAACAGCAAAAAATGTAAAATCAGCCGGTTGCCGGGCTAAAAAATGTTTTACTTTTGCGGCTTCAAATGGCAATATGCCAATATTTTAGCTTCATTTATAATGCATTAACATATGTTGTCTAACGTTCGTAGTCAGACGAGTTGGCAGTCAGGAAATTATAGCCAAGAAAAAGAGAAACGAAAAAATATGAAATTTACATAGCAAGAAAACTGAACTTAACTGAACAGAACTGAACACTGAACACGGAAGAAGGAAGGCGACATTTGGCAGACAACGGCGACATCCTTGCTCAGCATCATCATCATCATTCCTGCTAGCACCAACACCACCACCGCCCAATGTGTCGGTGCATCGCGTAAATCGATGAATTTATATGTTTTGATTAGATGTGTTCACTGTTCGAACCGGTATGTTACAAACTAGCTGCTGCTGGTAAAAGGAAAACAAGCAAACTATTTATTGCAATCAGCAGTTGGCGGTAATTGAATGGGACACAGACAGAGAGTGAATGAGAAAGAAGCAAAGCCGTAAAGCAGTCAGTGTCTTTTTGGCGCCTCCTTTGTCGACTTTGTTTTTGTTTTTTCTACTTCACTTTCTCATACTTTTCCGCTTTTCTTTTTTTTCTACTTCTAATTCCACAGAGACCACAAGAGCGAGAAGAGGAGGAGAGCGTATGCATTTCGCTCTCAAATCGATTTCGCATTTGCATTCGCTTTAGCTGCTGCTGATGCCTAGCGTCAACCAAAAATCGATTACTTATTTTCTTGTTGACTATTTCTCCTGTTTTTTCTTCAACGTCTCAATGACAGTGTGCGAGTATCAGACAAAAAACTATTTTTACTATCCCTCCCACTTACAAAAAGCAGATTCTTGTCCATTTCCGGATTGCTGTCGGCAAAATGGACGAGGTCCATGTTCATCTGTGAGCCACTCGGCTGGCCGGCACTTTCACCACCAGTCGCGGATGACTGGTCAACAACTGAGCCACCATCACCACCGCCAGCACCTCCATTATCGCTGTTAGCAGCATTTCCACCAGCGCTCCCTTCACCTCTCTTCTCCGACTGTTCGGCACGTCGACCGGCAAACTGCTCATTACCAGGGACGGCGCCAGCATTGCTGGAGTGAAGAGTGCCAGGACCGGAATTTCCTCCTCCTCCTCTGACCACCTTTGCGTGCACTAGTCTGCCGTACAGTAGCGACTGCTGCCAGTCGAGGGCTTCACTCAGGTTTGCCCGTTGAAGACGGCTCCACTTTCCAGAGCTGGGTGATGATTTTAGTGCATCAGCTCCACCGGCAGAGCTGCCTCCCTTCACCTCGCCTTCGTAGCTGTTTGGATTGCCGTGGTCCACTAGAAGGTGATGATGCAGAAGGTGACCACCACTGCCTACACCTTGATCACCCTCCTCTTCGCTGTCCACTTCATTTCCCTCTCCTGAAGGTGATGATGATTTGTGCTGTTGTCGATGTTGCTGATGTTGCAGTCGCTCCTTTTCCTCAATTTCACTTGGTATCGTCAACCTGGGAATGAGTGACAACCAAATTGAAAGTTGGTGGCTGCGGTAGTGATCACGAACGGTGATTTGAGGTCCTGTTTTAAAGATAAAAAGAAATGGTTTGCTAGTTAAGTAGTGTGAACTTTGGTACTTTTTACATTTACATTCAAAACGTTTTTACTGCGGGCACAACCTTACTTTTGCAGTGCTAATCTTTTATCTTGTGCAAGTAAATTCAGTCTTCTCTCTGTGTGCAGACAAACTGATTTTAAATTGCTCTCAGCACTTTTTTACTTTTTCTCCTTCCAAACTGTTTTCAAATCTATTTTTAATCTCTGCTGATTTTAAATTTTCATCATCCACTTCCGTTTTCAGCTGCTGCACTTTTTCTGCTCTTGTACAGCAAAAAAAATTAGTTATGCATGCAAATGCCCTCGTTGGTGCTTTTGCTAGGTTTTTTTCCGTTCATCTAGTTACTTCTACTGCTAGGCAATCTATGTTTTCCTTTTGCTTAAGAAAAACGACGCATTAGGCAATTTCCATTTTTTTAAATACATATCTTCAGTTGTTTTACATAAAACACATAAAGACACGCAAACATTTAGATTTCAACACAAACACACGAACAAAACGCAAATGTTAGTTTGTTGTGTGTTGTGCTTAGCACTGCTGCTCAAAAACTTAACAATAATAAAAACAAAAAATTTAGCAGAATCTCGTTTTGTAGCAATTTTCCTGCTAAAGGACTGATGCTAAAGAAAAGCAGTTGAATTGTTGAGCTGTTGAAGCTGCCTCAAAATTGCCCTGCTCTTTCAGCATTACGTGTTTACCCGGGTGAAATTCGCTGCAACTGCCGTTGCTGCTGTTGTTAGTACAAATCGTGACTGAGTTTTGTTTTGTGTCCTTTTCTATTCTATCTTTTTTTCTTTTTTTTCAAGCCAATTGTTGGCATCGGGCAATTCAATTTGCCTGCGCTGTGAACTGTTGGGCAGACAAACAATGCATAGCAGAGAAGTGTCGAGGAGCACTGTTTCCTCAATAAATAATATTGCTAATATTGTAAGGCAGGCAGTGCTTGGAACAAATTGCCTCACTACCAGTGCTACTGTACTGCCACTAAATATAGTCGTTGTTCTGGCACAACAGTTCAAGAAAAAAGAAAGACAACAAAGATGCAAATAATAAAAATGTCCAGAGAAGGAAAGATACTAAGTGCAAGTGTGTAAACTCGAATCAATCACAGGCGCAGACAGAGCGAGAGTTTAAGAGACGACTTGCAGAACTGTAGGTGCACTCCCCAGTTCCTTCTCCTCACCGAGAAGTGGCCATTGGCCACTGTTCAGTGGACACACTCATAGATTCACATTCAGTGTCTGTCATTTTCCGTTCCATTTGCACAGCGTCAGAGAGGAAAATGATGATACATTGCTACCAAGGCTGCCTAACTGACTGGATGCTAAGAATGATGCATGCAAAGGAGGAGGAGGGGATAAGGGAAATTTAGCGATGAGACTTACCAAACTCAAGATACTTTTTCTGCGTCGTATCGTAGGCTGGCCAGTGGACACTGCTCGGGTAGCCGGTGTTTACTGCTGATGAATGGCTAAAGCTGCTGCTGCTGCTGCTGATTGCAGCTGTTGTGCCGTCGACGTGGCCGTGCACGTGCTCGAAATGCAACGACGATAGACGGCGCAGATGGGCGGCAGCGTCTGCTGAGGATGATGATGATGACCAGTGGCTATTTGCTGGTGGTGGTGAAGAAGTAGTAGGGAAACTGTTTGGATCACTAGATTGCAAGAGGTGAAAGAGAGAAGGAGAGGAAAAGGAGAGATTAGTACCACTGCAATAGGGCAACGGGAAAGGCAAGGCAAGTGGAACGTGAGTGGGATGCAGAGAAGAAGCATCACCGCCAAAAAGAAGAACAAGGCAGAGATAAATTGATGGGCGCAGACTGAGATTCAAGATGTGTGCAGAAAGCAGATTCTTGCTTTCTTCTTCTTTTTAGGCTGCAAATCTGACTGGACACTGATGCTTCTCAGCCAGTCAGTCAGTCAGTCTTGGGTGGACTGCACAAATATTTGCACTTGCCACTACTGATGCTGTTGCCTGAAATGAATGGATGCTCAATGCACAGGGTGCTAATTTCCTGGTGGTGTTCCAGTGGTGGTGGTGATAAATGGAAATTAATGAATGCTCGGTGATCATGGTGGTGATATAGCTCGCTAACGGTGCTTCTTTTTTCTCCTCTTTTTCCGTTTAACCGTTTAGTAGCGGGCAAAAAACGACAACAAAAGTCAACAACAAAAGAGGCTAGTCTTAGATTTAGAAGATGCCCAAGCTCTTTGCCAACAAAATCACCACCGGAATATATGGGAACAGTAAACTGCTGTGTCCACTAGGCTATCATTACACTGTCAGTGATGGCTGCTGCTGCTGTAGCACTGTGTGTGATTACTTGATTGCCTGTCTGGGCCTGCCTCAAGGGTTGAGCTGCTTCTGACTGCAACTGCCACTGCCACTGAAATTGATACGTTCTAATACGTTGGCAAAGTNCAAAAAAAGTCAACAACAAAAGAGGCTAGTCTTAGATTTAGAAGATGCCCAAGCTCTTTGCCAACAAAATCACCACCGGAATATATGGGAACAGTAAACTGCTGTGTCCACTAGGCTATCATTACACTGTCAGTGATGGCTGCTGCTGCTGTAGCACTGTGTGTGATTACTTGATTGCCTGTCTGGGCCTGCCTCAAGGGCTGAGCTGCTTCTGACTGCAACTGCCACTGCCACTGAAATTGATACGTTCTAATACGTTGGCAAAGTTGCCAACCGAAGATAAGACGATAGCAGCGACTTTAGCAGCTTTGCAGTGTGAGCTCAGTGATTGAGCACAGAGCAATTTTAAAGTTTTCTTCGATAAGAATGCCCAGCCAGCAGCAGTGTCTTTTCTTCTCACTTTCAACACCAAAATCCACTTTAACTTTCTCACAAGTACACTGGCCTATTTTCACACACATTATTGCCAATTTTGAGAGCTTAAAATGTAAATTCACACAGGCAGAATCAGCACCATCACCACCAGGAACACTTTCCCGCATTTCGCTGCTGGCGCACATAATTTTGCCGTTTCTCAAATTTACATTTATTTTGGTGTCAAACTCTCCGAGAGTGCGAGCCAAAAAGTGAGAGAGTGTGTAAATGTAAAATAAAGACGTAAATCCTCTTCATTCTCTCCTTTTTCTCAAGATAAAAAGTAGTATCGCAACTGCAACTTACCCAAAAGCGGCAAAGTTGAGCATGTACTTGATCATCTCTTTGGCCAGCTGAACATCATCCTCGGTGTAGTTGAAAACTGAAGCGGGCGAGGGTAAAGAAGAGGTGAAGGAGGCGACATCGAGAGAAGGATACCGTGGTGAGGTGTTGGTAGTGGAAGAAGAGGAGGAGGGGCAGCTAAAAGTGCTCAAAGACTGAGGTGGCAGCAGAGGAACGCCTAACAGATAAGCAAGATCGGCGCCCGTTGGAGCGCCTAATCGTGAATAGAAAGTGGTCGCCGGCTTGAAGGGCTGGTGGTTGAAAACGTAGAGATAAGTTCGAGGACCGTGGACCGTAGTTTTGCCACCTCTTCCTGAGCTGGATGCTCGACCATGTGCCCCGGATGATGATGATGAGGAGGAAGAGGAAGAAGCAGAGGAGCCCAGAGCGGCGGCGGCGGCCATCTGGGCGCCTAGGGCCGCCACGTGGTCGGCCGTTTCGGTGCTGGGCGCGACGATGGCCGCGTCGGCGAGCAGCTCCACCAGCGAGTCCATCACCGCGGCTGGCTGCTCTGCCGGCCGCGTCCAGTCGGTGTACTCGTTGACCAGCGTGTGGAAGATGGCCTGAGGGAGAAGGCGATGCACAAAAAACAAATGTGCAAAGAAAGAAGAGGGAAAATGAGTTTAATGTTGCACTGCATCGGTTTGGTAGTAACTGGAGCGTGGTTCTACTTGGAATAAAAAAGGAAGAACACTTGAATGGCGTAAACTAGACTGTTGGAATGTTTACTGTGTGTGCCTGCGTTCTGTTGTTTGTATAGCGAAACTGAGCGGAGCGATACTGATGATGATCATGATGGTAATCAACCACACTTTGCCAGCGGTCAAACTTGGTCTTTTTAGAAATAAAAAGAGGCCATTTTTTGCAGCAAAAGTTTTGCAACTGCTGATGAAAAGTTCACACTCGAACCTAATGCCGCTTTTCAATTAAAATTAAATGCTAGTCTACTTTTTTGTTGCTGTTTTTGTTTAGTTTTAAAGTTTTTTTGTTGTTAATTTAATTGTATGTTGATTTTGCACCCTAAACTCAAGTTTTGTGTTCAAAATCAGCACTCACCTGTTGGTGATAGTCAAATGAGTTGCGCACCAACGTCCTTAGGATTCGGTCCCGTCGAGCGGTGCTGAGGCCGGTGCGCTCCTCCAACGGTGAAAAGATGGCCGGACATTCAACTCTGGTCAGGCCAATGAGAAAGTCCGGCCAGGGTGAAGAATTTGAGGTAGATGAAGTAGAGGTGAAGGAGTTGGGCTGATAGCCAGAACTGCCGACTGAAGCGGAGGACTGCAGGTGAGCGTGTAGTCGGTGATGTGAGGTGAAAGCTGACGTTGAGGATGTCACCGTTGATAAAGTAGAAGAGGAGGAGGAGGAACTGTTAAAACCACTTCGATAAAAAAAGCTTCTCCCTGAGGAAGAGGAGGCAGTCGTCCCAGAAAAATCTTCCCCACTACTTCGAAGAACGCCACGAGCGAGGAGGGCGGCGGTCATGGCCACCCTTGGCTCGTGGGGCATCACAATTGCGTCAATGCTGGGGCCAAAGGCGCTCAGGTGCTCGGGGACGGTCACCGAGGCGGACATCAACGAGGCGACGGACGCCGAACGAAGGCAGTCCACCATTGATGCTGGAGACTGAAATCAAAGGTGGTGTTGATAAAAATGTAAAATTGTTTTAAATGATTCTAGTTTTACTACTCACCTCAACAGGACAGCTAAGCTGCCGGGCAACCTGCTTAGCGTACGTCGGCGAGTCTCTGGCAATGGCCCAGGGCGCCAGCGCCGAGCCTGACATTAGCACCACACGATTGAATAGACCTGAAGATTTCAGGGAAGAATAGCAAACAAAAACAATTGTTCCTTTTTATGTTTTGCACTAAATCAAACACAGTTTACAACAAAATGGGTTCAATTTTAAACACTTTAGAAAAGAAACCTAATTGTCACTATCTAAAACACATATCAGAAACTAATGATGCCTAAAATGTTGCTGTCAATATGTATTAACACCCTTGTGCTATTTACCTTTGGCCATAGGCGAGAGGGCGAGAATGTGCGCCAATGCGGCGCCATGTCCGTGTCCGATTAGCGTGACATTGGCCGGTTGGCCGCCGAATGCGGCAATGTTCTGTTGCAGCCAGTGCAAGCCGGCGACAATATCAAGTAGACCATAGTTGCCACGCAGAATGCCATCCACATGCGCCGGTAAAAAACCTACAAGAGAAAAAACACGGAAGAGTGAAATAAAAAAGAAGATAAAAGTAGAGCAAGTGGCTGGCGGTTTCATAACAACATCGGCAGCAAAAAACAAACAATTAAACTTAATTAGCTATCAATGGACAGGGTAAGTGGAGAAATAAAAGGAAGAAGATAACTCAATTTAGTAGCCGAGCTCGCAGACAGACAGCCTTACTGGGAAACGGAAGAAATAAAAACTGAAATAAGAAGAGGAGAAGAAGATTTGGCCATGTTTTTAGGGAAAGTGCACTCAAACACACAAAGTTGCCACCAAAGTGATACGTTGGTGGCTTAGTAGTAGCTGATGCAGGCTAACAGAAAACAAACGAGGAAGAATGCTGCTGCTGTTTCTGTGTTTCTCTCAAGTGGAATTAGCTGTTTTTGGAAATGCTGTTTCTTTTCTGCTAGTCCCAAGTTAACAAAAAGGCTCAAATTAAAAAGTTTTCTTTTAGCGGTGTGATGGTAAGTTTGAGAAAAAACAAATTGAGTTTTCCGTGTATTGATGATTGTATGTGTGTTTTGAGAATTTTTAACTACTTTTTGCTACTAAGCTTTAAAAGCTTTTTTAACTTTAACTAATACAACTAAAAATGTTTAATTTTATCAGCTATAAACCACAGGGCAGCAGGACTATTAGCATGGAAACAGTTTCTTAAATTGCATTTGCCTAGAAATTAGTTGTTAGAAAACTGGTGTAAAACACATTTTACAGCATTCAGAAGCAAAAATAATGAAAAAATATAAAGAAGAAAGTAGGAAAAGGAAGAAAATGAAAAATAAAATGTAAATTCTAAATCAATTTGCTCTCCCGGTTAATGTTATTTTTTGTGTGTGTGAGGTATTTCCTGTGCTGCTGATGGTGCTGGTTTGTCTGCTTGGGGACAGTGTCACANCTCTCTCTCTCTCTCTCTCTCTCTCTCTCTCTCTCTCTCTCTCTCTCTCTCTCTCTTTCTCTGTGACAATGTGCTCACTCGGTCAATTTGGCGTAAATCGAGGGTGGTGGTAAAAATGATGAAGGCAAGAAAAAGAATGGTTTAGACTACTGCGGTAGGCTAGGGGTGCAAGCCAAGCAAAAAGCATAAGAGAAAAGAAAAGGCATTCCCGGGAAAACACAGAAAAAAAGAAAGAAAGAAGGCACGCGGCTCTCATATGTCAGATGTCAGCTACAGCTAGTGTGTCTCAGAGTTCTGCTCTGTGTCGATTCGAGTTGCTCGCCAAAATCGATTTGCTCGCCGATTCGATCGACGAGCGTCGAATATTCGAATGGAATACATCGATGGGCCAGATGAGCCGACTACCAAGACGATCGAGAAGGAGGAGGAGGCGGAAAAAGAAGACAACAGTCTGGGGCAGCAGTAGAATCTTCATTTCTCCAGCACAAAAACACTAATGCCAAACAGTGGCCGCTGCACACATCGCGACTGATGCGGCAAATTATCGGTTTCTGCTGCTGACGACATTGCACCACACACACACACACAAATTTTGTGTGTTTCACAAAAAAAGAATACACTAACAAACAGACAAACGAAAGGAAATAGACAACAACAAAAACAAGAAACAAAAAGACAAAAACAGGCAGATCGAAGCCAAATGAGTTCACATGCACTACTGACCAAGTGCTCCGAGGCGGTAGGAGAGCGTGACGACGACCACTTGCCCGTAGCTGGCCAACAGTGAGCCGTCCAGTTGGGGGCCGAGGTTGGTGGCGTGAGAGGCGCTCACCAGCAGGACTATCACCGGCAGAGAGGCCGCTGATCGGCGACTGTTGAAGCTCGAGGAGGAGGAGAAGGAAGATGAAGTTTTTGTTTTACTTTTAGTTGAAGAAGCTGAGGATGAAGATGAGGAGGAGGATGAGGACAAGGACGGTGAGGAACGAGAGGCACGGGAAGGACTGCTGTTGCCGGAAGAACTACTGGCATTACTGCCGTTTGCGGCACTTCGATGACGCCGGTGACGGTTAACGCCACTGTTTGGGGTGTTGCTGCTAGTGATGGACCGACGTCTTCGAGATGGCTGATCATCACCACCATTACCATCATTATTTTCAACAAACACCTCGGCGTCATCCCTTTCTCCCGCCTCATCGGCGGACATTCCATCACCGCCGTGGTCGTCTTCAAAATCTGAAACAAAATTAAGAAAAATGAAAAAAATTGTTAGTAGTGCTCTTTTTATTTTTGCTGGCATTGTAGTTTATTAATTGTTGGCTGTAATGATAGTCACAATTAGTTAGAGAAGCGCTGAGGGAGAGTGAACACAAGCATACGTAGTTCAGACTGACTTTATTGGCAAAGAGTAGCTGCTTTTATACACAAACAGGCGACGTAACTTCGAACTCTCAAAGCTACGTCGCTAGCGGCCTTTGGGCCGCTACTTTAGTTAGTTAGGGAGCACACTAGTGCTCCCGCGCGTTTCATCAATAATAAAATCTACTTGGTGCATTCTTTTCATTAATTAAATTTTATACTTTTCTATCTCTTTTCTTCTTTTTTCTTTTCTGCTAATCGATTACTCAATGGGAAGTGTCTGCCGTCGGGCTGGCCGTCATCACCAGCCGACGTCAATGTGTGACTGTTGAAACTAAAACAAAAAACATAAAGCAAATCAGCAGCGTTAAGCGACTGCCAGAAAGATGGGAGTCAAAATTTTCATTGTTACAACTTCAGTTGTTCTTTCAGTTGTACAACTGCACTACTACCCAGTTCAAACTAACACAGTAGTACTATTTGCAGTTAATCGATGGTGCCATAATTTATTAAACCTCATTTTTCCTCTAATGATCGAGGTGGGATTTTTGGTGCAGTGGGTTTCAACTTAATTTTTTTAATTTGTTTTTTGTAAAAATTGGTCATTTTAATATTCGACTAAAAAACTAAAAATACAAAAAAATTGTTTGGATTAATAGTTTGTTTTTCTGCTTTTTCTATTAATTTATTTTTTGTTTTTTTTGTTTTTCAAATGAATGCAATTAAGCACAATGGCCTCTAACACTCACTGCAACTCTAACAAAAACTACTAATACTGCTGTTGTTACTGTTGTAGCTACTTTTTTGTTTCAGCAAATCAATAAAAGATAAATTAGATTTATCTTTTTTTCTTTGGATAAAATACCATTTTTCCTTTCTCTACACATTTTTTCTCTATGTCCTTTTTTCTGATTTCACATTAATTGAGCCATTTGACACTCACTCAATTTATTTGCCACTATTTGCAATTTAGTAACTTGTTAGTTTGAAGTTGTTTTAAAAATGAAACTAAGATTAAAATTCGTTTGATTGTTGCAACAGAACTATTTATTTTTGTTACTCTCAATCATCATCATTAAAAAATATCTGTAAATGTTGTAAATCATTTTTTGACCTTTTGTGTTAAGAAAATCTAACACCATTAACATCAGGACTAAAAAGTTTTAAAAAAATCAAACTTAATTTAAAATTTTTTTTGTTATACCAAATGGTTCAGATTTAGAAGCAGGCAGGCAAATACTAGCCAACTAAACACTGAGCAATTTCAATTTCAGATTTTATATATTCATAGATGAAAAATTGTTTTTCTCAGTAATACTATTTGTTTGGCCAAAAGAAATATTTCCTCTTTTCCCAACTCTGTGAAATCGATTAAAAAGTTAAAAGTCAATAGAAAAGCAAAACGATTAAGTAAAAACGCAAAGAAAAACATTATTAACTCAGATGTTCCCAGAAAAACAATCATCAACAAAAACAAATTTCCTGCAGCAAGCACCCAGAGACAAACGATACTACCTACTGAAACAGATTTGGCCTGCCTAACTCCCCACACAGTGAGGCCAATTCAATCTCTGTCCCAGTTCACTAATCGACCATTACGCAACTTTTGGTCGACTTGGCTCGACAATACCACCACCACGTTTTCTAGTGTTCATCAGGCATCATCTTTGTCCTCGTCTCTAGCAGAAGTAAACTAAACTGCTGCTGCTGCTGTACAACAAGCACTGCTTTTACATTTGCATGCATCATCATCATTACGCATCCTCGCGCACACATTACATCATTATGGCCAATTATGCCGACGAGTCAGTCATGGTTGTTGCTGCTGTTGCTGACGACTCAATCGTCTTTAACTTTCTTTAGCTCGACGGCTAACGGTTGTTCAAATGATCCAATGTTCTTGTTGGCTTGCTGTATTGTCGTGTTGCACGAGTGTAGTTACGGTAATTAGCTGTACTCTAGCTGCTGCTGCTGCTGTTGGTGGATACTACGACGGTTGGCGTCAATGATAAGCGGCAGTAAAGAATAGCGGAAAGAGGAGGGAAAGGGCGCCCCTGTACTTTCTCTTCCGAGGACATGTTCCATTACATCCATTGGATTGTGAGTGTGTGGATCACTGCCATCACCGCCATACAGCCTGCACTACTCTATTGCCATCATCGAGCATGGAACATGGTCGCTTGTAAGCCATTACTGTTTCTGCTACTAAAACTAGTGCCGTTTTAAATGTACTTTCTTCTCTCGTTCACTATTACTTTTAGCAATGTTTTAGTTTCAAAGTGGAAACAAGTTTCAAACTACTGTAACAACAGCAAAAGCAACAGCAGCTTCTACTGTTTATTTTTTTGCTCGGTAATTTGTTGGTAATTTTTAACATTTTGAGCAAGTGAAACAGTGGTAGGAAAATGTTGCAACTCATTGATGATGTTTTCTAAAATGGTGTGCTATTGCTGCGGCTGCTGTTTTTTAGTAGCCTGGATGTTGGCTTTCCTTTCTCACATTTTTTCTAGCAAAAGCAGGCCTGTTTTTTCTTTTCATATTCTTATTCTTTTTCATCTTTAAAACTCCCATTAACTTGACTTAATTTTCTCACTAAAAAATTATGTGTTTCTGTATAGCTTAGGAAATATAGTAATAATTTAAATTTCTAATATTTGCTCAACGTGTATTTCGTCGTCGTCGTCGTTATCTGTCTGGCAGACAAATTGCACCAGTCAGTGTTCCCTTGTTGCCTGCCGCAGTCGTGAATTCA